TATCTCTCAATTCAAAGAAAGCTAAAGAGAGAGCACACATCGTCCTTACTCACAAGTGGCCTAAAGGAAAAAAACCAATAACTAGTGAACCTTCCTCAAAAAAAGGTTTTCAACCGCATACAAAGAAGCAGAAAAAAGAAAAAATCTGGGGTGAAAAAGAACACGTTTATGGCTGGGGTGATGTAGTTTATCCAAATGAACAAGAATCAGTGGCTCTCAAGGATGATGATGAAGAAGATAATAAACTAAGGAAGGAGAAAAATTCCTCAGTTTGGGGTTCTAGTCTCATCGAAGTCGATCAACTTTTTGAGGAATATTACCTTGCCGGACTAGTAGATTCAACAACCAGGCCTTTATTTGAACCTTTCAGTCTAGAATCAATGACCCCGAGCTCCACTATTGTTACTACTTCGAGTGCCACTCTGGTGAGCGTTCTATCTTTTTCTTCTACTATCATACCTAAAAAGGAAGCGCTCTAACCTTATTGTAACATTTTCTTGACTGGTCTATTTTGCCTTGTATTAATTTATTCCAAGATTAATAGATTATTTATTTTATTGTAACCTTCCATTCTTTGTAGGCTAATGTGCTAACTTCTGAAGACCTTACAAAAATGATTGTGGACAAAAAAAAGATGCAAACTGAAATTGATCAGTTGAAGGACCAACTTGCAGCCTTTGAAAAAATCAAGTTTAGTACGGAGGTTAATCAATTGAAGAAGTGCTTCACAAATATGGAGGTTGACCTCACCTCATTGGGGGATGAGACAGAAGCATGCGGTCAAGAGGTCATCCAACTAGGCTCAGAATTGGCCGAGTTGAAAAAAGTGTTGGGTCCTTACCTAGAAGTCCTTACTGCTTATGAGAAAAAAGAGTCTAAGCTAAAAAGGGATCTTCAAGCAAACATCGAGGAGAGTAATAATTCAAAGACGGCATTAGCTATTGCTCAAGCTGAAAACCTGAAACACATGGAGACCATAGAAGAGTTGCGAGAATCCCTCTCAATTTTGAGAGGAAAAAATTGATCGAGGCTCAGCGTCACAGAAATGTAGATACATATGGTGGTATCTGTAAGTGATATTTCTTTTTGATTTTAGTCAACCAACACTTATTGATTTGGGAAAATACATGATCTGCCTATATATATATATATATATATATATATATATATATATATTCTACTTTTGTGTTAAATTTGATGGTGTCTGATTTTAGGAGACTAAAAACATTTGTAATTTTCTACTATGGATAAATTAGTCTGTGAATTTGATTTAAAGAATAAGAACACTTCACCTAATACATCAGTGTGGAAAGTCATCTATCATGTTTGTGTTGTAAAAAAAAATATTTGAGTCATATTACCCATATTGGACCGGATGAGACTATGTTCTTGGGTAATTCTATAACAATCAAATTGAAGATTATGAAATGGTTCTTCTAAAAAGGACATCTGGCAAGGTACTGACTTTAAACAATGTTTGTATCTAACGAAATTGTAATAAGTAAGAACAAAATAATTATGAGAAAAATTTACCTCATGAAGGGTCCTTTCAAATTCAATATTTCTACTTGTTCTTACTTGCTTGAGTCAAACTGTTTGAGACATAAACACTTGGGATATGTCAAATACAAAACTTTGTGAAAACTGATCAATTTAGAAGTTTAATAAGATGAAAAAAAAAAGATTAGAAGTGATAGAGGTGGAGAATATGAATCTTTTTTTTGCAGAAATTTGTTTGGAAAATGGAATCATCCATCAAACTACTACTCATACTCACCTCAATCTAATGATATTGTGGAAAGAAAAACCAAACTTTGAAAGAAATGTTGAGTGCCTTCGCTTATAAGTTCAGGTTTACCACAAAATTTGTGGGGGGAAGCTATCCTTACAGTAAAAGAGAATAACAAAAAGTTTTGTCTATTTAGAAAGGAGGCAACAAAAAGTTTTATTTGTTCAGGACTTAGTCTATTCCATGAGAAATGAAAAAGAAGAAAATCCAACTTGAAATACTTCAAACTGTGGGGATGCCTAATCATAGCCCAAGTTTATATTCCTAAAAAGGTCAAAATCGGACCTAAGATTGTGGACTGCGTTATCCTTGAATATGCCACAAATAGTAAAGCATATCAATTTTGGTTCATATGTCCAAACATTTGGATATTCATAACAATATGTTAATTGAATTAGCTAATGTTGAATTCTTTGAACACATCTATCCGTGTAAAACTAGACTTGAGTTATCTAGTAAAGGGTCTAAACGACCTTGGAAAGAACCAAAGGGGAATGCACTTAATAAAGAGATTCAGAGGCATAGAAAACGTCAAAGGTAATCTACTTCATTTGAATATGATTTTGTAACATTTCTTCTTGAAAATGGGTCTCATACATTCAAAGAAGGTATGTCTTATCTGGACTCATCCTTTTGGAAAGAGGTTGTCAATAGATAGAATGATTCAATCTTAAGCAACCATATTAGAAGTTGATTGATCTTCATCCAGGAAATGAACCTTTGAGTTCAAAGTAGATCTTCAAAAGGAAAATGAAAGTTGATGGAACTATTGACAAATATAAAAGCAAGGCTCGTTGTCAAAGGCTTTAGACAAAAAGTTCTTGATTGTTTCGACATATACTTGCAAGTAACTAGGATTACATCCATTCGGATGTTAATTGCGTTAGTTATAGTGTATGACCTTCAAATTCATCAAATGAATGTGAAAACAACTTACTTAAATAGAGAATTAGAGGAAGGAATTTACATGGTACAACCTAAGGGTTTTGTGGTTCCTGATAAAAAAAAGAAAATGTGTGCCCTTGCAATATAGGTAAAATGTTGTGTCATTGCTAGGCTCTTAGTAATGGTTGTCGGTTAGAGAAACTCTCCACAGATTAAAATTTTCTATTCTCATATTATTTTTATTGCATATCTTATTGTAATGTACAAATGGTTTTCACATATTGTTTACTTGATATGTTTTCCATCATCAATTCAGTTATTGTTTTATTCAGCCATATTACATTCTTATACATTTCATGTACTGATGTTATTCGACCTACATCATTTTATGATGCAGATACAGGTGTTCAGGAACATCAACAAACATTTTTTTAAGATCACTTGCACTCGTAGACAACTTTTGGTGAGACCTTGCTTCCGGGAGACTCCATTTCATATTCAGTTTAAGTAGTAATTGAGGTGTCGTGGGTCTTGTCCCGACACCTATCTTGAATAATAGAGGCTTCATAGACAGACAGAGTTAGATGTTTCCATTGTTTTCTTCAGATGTTTTATTTAAACTTATGAATTATGTTAGGTATTTCAAGACAATGTCTTAAAGCTTTTTTTAAAATGTTTTAAATGCTCATGTATTTAAGCTTCTGCATGTCTTATAGAGTCATGTGAGTCATAGTTAGTCAGGCCAAGAGTTCGCATGAGGCCAACAATGGTCTCTAGTGGCGGCCAACCACGTCCATAGTGTAGGCTTGAGGGGTGACGGTATTGATACACTGATGAGTTAGATCGTTCTATCCTAAAAGAATTATTCCATTAACCTTGGGTACTTGAGGGGAATAATTTCCTTAAGGACACATTGTGCATTCAGTGGGCTCGATTTTCTTCTTTGAAAAAAATATTTTGTATATTATGGATCTATTTTCCTTACTGATTTTAAGTTTCTAGTTTTGAAAGTACTCTTTAAACTTTGTTGATTCTTACCAAGTCCTTTAAAGTTATTGTTCCAAGTATTTTAGGAATATAGGGTGAACAACAATATATAGGTCAAATATTAGTTTATATCTATATGTATATACACATAATATTTTGAACATTCTTAGAACCAATAATTACCCATACTATAGGGGCAATAGGACTCAAAGTATGTAGGGCATGCAAGATTATATCCCTGTAGAGTTACTTCTTTTTTTGTTTGAATTTACTATTCAAAATTTGGACACTCTTCGTGAAATTTCTGATTATCTGCTACTATACCCTCTTCAAAAGATAAAGTTGGAAGGAAGAATATCCACTTAAGCAAGTGTTGGATAATCTTTGCAAATTGCAAAGAAGGCCTCTTATCTCCCTCCAATTGTTAACTGACCAAAGAAAATCAAATAAAAATGAACATTACATGTTTATCTTGAATCCTTTTGTTTCTACTTTACACTATATTGGTTTCTAAGTATATGCTCAAGTGGCATTATTTTTTTCTCTCTAAATAATGAGATACAGATCATATTCTCACTCAAGCCAATGGGCACGAGATTTGGATTTTGGAGTTAGCTTATATACTAGTTTTTATTAAGGACCTACTTGTTTCATTTGACTTGCAAGTTGCAACAATAAAAGCAGCCAGAGAGAGGGGTCAAGAATTGTTAATTAAATAATTTATAAATGGTAAGAGACCTAACGCATAAAATATAGAAAATCTCTGTCTCATTTTACTTTGCCCCTAATTTACTTGACACTCTTTAATTTACTAAATTATCTTTATTCAATTATGTTTAGCTAATTTATGTGTAACTAACATTACTTTATATAATTACTTAAAAATTAAAATGATATTGGAAGAAAATAATAAACTTCTCTTTTGTATTAAAATGGACAAGTAATATAATGGGAATTTTTTTTTGTCATAATGTACCTTTTAACTTGATTTCAACAGACATCTATGGTCTCTAACTTTGGATGTGCATAAGTATACACTTAAACTTATATAAATTTGAACAAATAGACACGTTCGTCTAGCGTGGCATCCTACATAACAATTTTATGTCTTACGTGATGTCCGACATGTATTATGCCACGTAGGCCGCGTCTGCTTTGTTCAATTACCTACTTCTGCACACCCAAAGTTGAAGAATATAAAAGTCAACTAAAGTTAAATTAAACTGTGTACTCAAAATTGAGGGACATAGATATTAGCTGAAGTTAAGTTAAATGGGCATACTTATCCCAATAGCTGTACATGAGTATTATAACAAAATTCCTGCTACGTCATTGAAATATGAATTGGTAGCTGATAGAAAGAAGTTGGCAAGAAAGTATGGTACAGAGCCGCCTCCAACTTGCCAAACAAGCTTTTATATAAATCACCTTCCAGGCAGAGAAAGAGAAAAAAAACAAATAAAAATGTCAGGAGTTAAAGGTGACGATGTAGAAGAAGGTAGTACAACATCGTCATTGATGTATCCAGGAATTGGAAATGAGGAAAATGATCTTCGTTGGGGTTTCATTCGCAAAGTTTACTATATTCTCGCCTCTCAGATCCTCCTAACCACCATCGTCTCTGCTGTCACTGTCCTATACCTTCCCGTTAACAACATCCTTCATGGCAAAACCATCCTTCTCATTCTACTCATTCTACCTCTCTTGTGTAAGTCCATATCCCCATTATCCCAACTTTGGACATTTTGGTACATTCTACATTTTTATTTGGGAAAATACATAAGTAGTCCGAACCTATGTTCGAAATCTCAAAAACACACATATACCATACTAAGGTCCTATTATTCTTGAACTTATTTTATAAATAATTTTTTACCTCTTTTCGGCCTACGTGGCACTATCTTTTGGGTCCAGCGCGTGTTGACAATTTTTTCAAGCTATCTATTTGATAGTGTCATGTATGCCGAAAAGGGTAACAAATTATTTATAAAATAAGTTCGGAGGTAATAGAACCTTAGTATAGTATAAGTGTGTCTTTGAGATTTCGGACATAGATTGGGAGTACTTATCATTTTCCCTTTTTATTTTCTCAAATTTTATGTCAAGTCAAAACCAGATAAACAAATTGAAACTGGGTGAGAAATTAGTTACCCTTTTATATGACTTGATGGTCCATTTTACTAAGTAATTTTGTTTTTGTGCAGTGTTGTTGCCCTTGTATTTCTATAGACAAAAGCATCCGTTGAATTTTGTTTTCCTTGGCCTCTACACTGTAACATTGAGCATCTCTCTTGGTATAGCATGTGCTACTATAGATGGTGAGTATTTTGAAGCTTTTCTAGCTATTTACTTAAATATTTGGATAATTAACTTTGCTAATTGGATTAATTACAGGAAAAATTGTGCTTGAAGCCTTGATCTTAACATCAGCTGTAGTTTTATCTCTTACTGGTTACACATTTTGGGCTTCAAAGAGAGGCCAGGACTTCAGCTTTTTGGGTCCAATACTGTTTGCTAGCCTCATTGTACTTTTCTTGACTGGATTTTTACAGGTTGGTCTCCTAGTATTTTATACTCTTATTGTTTCAATTTATGTGGTACTATTTGGATTTTGAGAGTCAAAACAGTTTAATTTTGATTTTAAAATCTTTAAACAGCCTTTTCATGTCGTATTTGTATGTGATTCTGACTTTGCCCATAATTTAATTTGCAGTTGTTCTTCCCTCTTGGATCTACAGTCTATGCTATTTACTGTGCAATAAGTGCTATTGTTTTCTGTGTGTATATTGTGTATGATACGTACAACCTGATTAAGAGATTCACCTATGATGAATACATCTGGGCTTCTGTCAATCTTTACCTGGACATTCTCAACCTCTTCCTAGACATTCTGCGATTGATCAGGCCGCGAAACACAACTAGCTAGGTCCACATTTCAAACAAATTTGTCAAGGAAAATTGATATTCTATTATTGTAACATTGATCTCTCTACTCACATAGGAGTATTTTGTAAACAAATTTCTATTTTGATATTGTCAAGTGTTATGTACTTAATTTCAAGAATAAAATTTCATTTATGTTACTGTATAATAATTATTAACTGAGAAAATGCATGTGCTGGAAGACTTTGCACCTAATTTTTGGTGACTTGAATATTGTACTCAATTGATTGGTTGCATCATGGGCCACTTGCCTAAGTTATTGTTTTTTGACAAGCTTCAAGATATATGATTTTATATTACTAATTATTAAAGGAATTGCCAATCAGTAGCCAACTCTAAAATTGAGTCCTTATTGCCGCTTTACAAAATCCTCAATCATATGATGGAGTCAATAGACTCCACAGATTAGAACGATTGGAGGAGAATCAGAACACTTTTCAATTAAAATGGAGTTGTATGAGATCAGTTCTTAGCCTGTTTTTATTTATCTTGATAATGGATGAATTGACATGATGTATTCAAAATATGATGTCATGGTGTATGCTATTGGTATATGAAGTTGATGTTAGGTTGGAGGTGTGAAAACAAAGTTTAAAATCTAAAAGGTTCAGACTAAGCAAAACTAGAACGGAATATATATTTGAAATACAAATTGAGTGCATGAAGCAAGTGTGGAAATGAAGTGAGGCTTGACACTCATGCTATCTCTAAAAGTCATGGTGAAATAGCATGTTTAGAAAGGATAGAGTGTTTTTCTGACATGCATGCTATCCCTAAATTTTCGTGAACTTGTTTTTAGCGCTATCAAAAGTTATAAACACTTTGAGCTTGGCTAGATGCAGTTTTTTCTATGTCATGTAAAATATAAGGTAATTTTTTCTTTTACCTTTTTACTACTTGAGCTAAGCAAATAGAAAAATATTTTATCATTTTATCTCTTAAAGAGATCTAGTGATGTTGAGATTTTCTATCTTGATATTGGTAACATTTCAAATTGTTTCAAAATTAAATCTCTTAAAATTGTTCGTGAATATGCCATAAGTGATAGTTAAAAATAAATACAAAAATGAGAAATAAATATTCAAATTGAGGCGTGAATATTTAACTCCCTTCAAGGAGATTCAAGGTCACTACAGTAAAGTCTACATCGATCCAGCAATATGATTCTTGATTTGTCTCATATAGCGTACAACAACCTAACATCATGTGAGTCAAACAACTATATACTAATTGAAGAGTGCAAAACTCCACAAAAAGAACACATTCCTTCGACTTAAAATTACTCACTTTTTATAATAAATAAATTAGAGACATAAAATATTTTTCATTGTCTCAACTCTCTTCCACAACTTCAACCTCACTGCATACTACAATAATTTTTCATACTTTTCATAATTCTCATTCTACAACAAATGAAGAAACATCACTATTTATAAGTGTAAAATTCTTTCATAAATTAGATAGCAAAGTAGTGGAACAATAATATTGTATCGTATACGTACAATAGGGGTTGGTGATGGGTAATTAGTGATTACATGAGATATACTAAATATAAGTAACCACTAAATTTCTTATCAGTTTATATTCACTTACATATACACTTTAATATTTTGTTTTAATATTAAAATGTCATGAACACCAACAATAGTATGTTATGTGCATATTACTTGCATTTCGTGTTTAAGTCATAGCACATGAGTGTATCGTTGTAAATATAAAAACATACACATAATATACAGATATAAAAGTGATATATAATGAGTATATCAATTCATGTGATGTGTTTAGGGAGAAGAAATCAAGAGCACACTTATTCTCGTTACAGTCCGGAACTTGTTAGAGCATATACGATCCAATGGAGATGGCCATAAATTCTTCATTTACATGTTGAGAAAATCACTTGTGTTCCATAAATGTATTTTTCAGGATACCAAAGCACAGCCTCAATCTAAAATTTGAAAGAAAATATTTTCAGGAAAATATAGAGAGTGAACAACTTGCTCTTCCAGTTTGTACAGCTTCAGTGGTAAATGATTTCTGTTTCATTCCTTGCAGTCTAAAAGGACAACAACTTACATGTAATGTACAGGTATAAGGTGGGAATAAAGAGGTTTCTTGAAATTCCCATTTACACTTTTCACTTAGCTACAAAATTTGCCTCATTTATACACTAATAAACAACTTTGCTTAAGGAGAACTTCCTACCTGGTCACATCGATCCACTGCCACAGTTTTTGCTTCAGTACAATGACCTCAGTTGCTCTTTCCAATATGAGCAACCTGGAGTTTGTACCAGACAACCGGCAAAAGCAACCAACATTTCAGCTTCCTTAAAGAAGCAGGTTATATTTTGGCTTACATGTTAACCAATCTTTGCCAATACAAAGTTATATACATTTCATTCCTTGATTTTCCTGGCTATTTTCTTACTATGAATAGGCTTCACAGGGTACAGAAGTATTGCCAGTGACAAAGCAAACGCAAGGCCAACTACTCCACTAAATGGTTGAGCTGGAGACGACCCCGTGAACCATGGAGGGAATTTTGGTAAATAAGTCAAAAAGAAACCAGTCTGTAAAATATGACTAGAAGCCAGTATCCCTGAACGCAGCCCAATTGGAAGGAAGAGGCTTTGGCTTCTTTGTCGAACACCTGCAAGAGCCAGTGACAATAGCCACAAACTGGGCACTGCCCAAGGTGACCTGAAAAGCAATTTTAGAATATGAAACATAATCACTTTGGTGGAAATTCAGTTGCATAGCACAAGAAAAAGGGTAGTAGCATTAGAAAAGCAATCAATCATACAGATACAACTTTTTTGGGGTGGGCCGAGGCCCCCGAGGGTACATCCGAAGATGCAAGATTGACAGGATGCACATGTATGCAAGACAAAAGAGCACTAAGTAGAACTAAACAAATACAGGGAAAAGATTCTCAAGATACCCTTAATTCAATCATTCAATTATTTCGCAAGTTTCAAAAGATCAAAAAATAGGCAGCTTCAAGAAAATAATGAATTTCCCCCTGATGATCGAATCGAAGCTGAAATGAAAAAAAAAAAAAATAGGCAGCTTGAAGGACAAGTAACCTAAAAACTCAGGCTGCATAGATCCATGTCTAAAGACTGAATGCATTGGATCAAGAATGGGGGCGCACCTTTGGAACAAAGCAAATGCGAGTCCAGAAATCATAATTCCACGATAATATCCCAGGTCAGCAGCAATTTCGTCAGGCAACCATGACCTGAAAAGAAGCTCCTCAACAGTGGCAACACTTGTTGCAGTTGCAACTCCTTGAACAAATAAAACAAATATCCGACCATACACCTTTAGCCAGGCTAAAGCTGCTGATGAGGTTGGAGGAGCCATGGGAAAACAGAAATCAACACAGCCAATTAAGGAGTTCACAGAATATATTAGCAAAACAAGGATGGTTCCTCCAAATAAACCTTTCAGAAAACTCTGTACCTGCAAGAAAGGCAGGCAGCATCTGAGTAATGCAATTAAAATAGATTATCCTTCAAAGCTTTAAATATGTTAGAGAAAAATAAATATTCATGGCCAACATCATGAACTGATACTTAAAGAATGTCAGCGTAACTCATATAATGGTCTCATGATTAAAGATAAAAACAGAGAATGAGGTACAACACTAGATTCTCCCTCTTCCAATCCATGTTACCATTGACACAAAAGGGGAAAATAAAGAAAAAGTTCACTTGATGGAAAAATTATTGCTAAAGATATGATTTCTTTACCATATTTGATAAGAACTGTTTGAAATGAGCTGGACTGTGCTCAATGGCATTTTTGTCATGAAGAAACAAAGAAAGCTTAGAAAGAAGAAAACAGCAGAAAGTAAAGAAGGAAAAGATAAGGAAAATAAGGTTTTCGTTCAACATATCTAACATTGCTTAGTACTGCAACAACATATGAAGGCCTATACCTAGGTATTCACACCCAATTACATTGGTTAAAATGAAAATAAGTGCTTAATGTAGGTCACATTGTAATAAATGGAAATTGAAATGGTTAGACTGCAAGAATGTGAACTTAGTCTCCTATCTCTATTTGTAACAAAAACCATGAAAGTATGATTATCTCATTACATTACAGCAAATATCTGTTCCAGATACTTTCCTAGACTGTTGTGTTTCATTGAATTCCAAAAAACAAGAAAACGAGTAATTGGTGTTGGATTTAACAGTGTAAGATAATCTCAACCTCAATCGAGTGATGAGATCCCATTGAAGAGCATGAAGAAGTTAGAGAGAAGAAAGGGAAGAAGTCTTATTCACTTATCTGATGATCCTTCTAAATCATAATTACAGTAGCCAGGTGCTTCCTCAAGAAGTTGTTACTTTGTCAACTTTAAAGCATTAGTTGACTGTTAACAAAGAGAACTTTTACCTTCTGCATTGAAGTCATATCTAGTCCATACTGCTCAAGCGGTTTCTCATAGCCACGTATCCTTTTGCCCCATAGAGTTACTAGTATGAAAATAGACATGTAGAGGCCAATAATACAAATGATCTCAGCAGTCCTGGATGGCTTCTGTGTTGTCCAACTTTGCACAAGTGTGGGCAGAAATGGAACGACCACTGGTGACCATAAAACAAGCACCATACCAACAAATGCAAGAATCCTGGTACAAGTTCCAGAATCGAGCAACATCAGTATGAAGCATGTCAAGCTTAGTGAAATGACAGAGAGCTCAGTCTAAAAACATGTTGACACATAGCTAAATCTGCAGAATGAATGAAGGCCCCCATCAACTCTACTCACGAAAGTGACATGTCAGTGACCTCACACTCTTGGAATGAAACTGAGACCCTGTAATCTCTTATATATATAAAAGAGAATCTTAGACCCGCCTATGTGGCGCCCTCACAAAGCATAATTATTATTTAACCCTTCTTAAAAGTCGTAACTTTTCATAAAAGTCGCAACCTTTCACAAAAGTCACAACTTTTCACAAAAGTCA